CCTTTGGGAGGCCGAGGCAAGAGGATTGCCTGAGTCCAGGGGTTCGAGACCAGTCTGGGCAACTTGGTGAGACGTCATCTCTACAATACATAAAAAAATTAGCTGGGCATGTAGGCACGCGCATGTAGTTCCACCTGATTGGAAGGCTGAAGCAGAAGAATCGCCTGAGCCCAGCAGGTCAAGACCATGGTGGCCATGAGTGTTCCACTTGCACTCCAGTCTGGACGACAGAGTGAGAAAGTACTATTTGTTGGCTGGGCATGGTGGCTCAGGCCTATAATCCTAGCACTTTGGGAGGCCAAGGCGAAAGGATTGCCTGAGTTCACGGGTTTGAGACCAACCTGGACAACTGGCGAGACCTCATCTCTACAATAAATCAAAAACTTAGTGGGTGTGGTGGCACATGCCTATAGTTCCAGCTACTTGGAAGGCTGAGGTGGAAGAATCTCCTGAACCTAGCAGGTCGAGGCTGCAGTGGCCAAGAGCATGCCACTGCCACTGACTGCACTCCAGCGAGACTCCAACTCAAATTTTAAAAAAAAGAAGCCAGGCTCGGCGGCTCAGCCTGTGGTCCTGCACTTTGGGAGGCTGAGGTGAGTGGATTGCCTGAGCCCATGGGTTCGAGACCCGCCTGGGCAACTTAGTGAGACCTCATCTCTACAATAAATCAAAAATTAGCCAGATGTGGTAGCGCACGCCTGTAGTTCCAGCTACTTGGAACGCAGAGGGATCGCCAGAGCCCAGTAGGTCAAGGCTGCGGTGACCGGGAGCGTGCCACTGCACTCCAGTCTGGGTGACAGAGTGAGACTCCAACTCAAAAAAAAAAGAAAGTACCATTGTTACAAAAGGTATTTAATTATCCTTTATATCAGGCCGGGCCCAGTGGCTCAACCCTGTAATCCTAGCATTATGGAAGGCCGAGGAGAGAGGATTGCCTGAGCAAAAGGGTTCAAAACCAGTGGTTCGAGATCAGCCTGGGCAACTTGGTGAGACACTGTCTCTACAATAAATAAAAAAATAAGCCAAGTGTGGTAGCATGTGCCTGTAGTTCGAGCTACTTGGAAATCTGAGGCAGAAGGATCGCCTGAGCCCAGCAGGTTGAGGTCACGGTGGCCATGAATGTGCCACTACACTCTAGCCTGGGTAACAGGGAGAAACTCCAACTTGAAAGAAAGAAAGAAAGAAAGAGAGAGAGAGAAAGAAAGATAGATTATCCTTTATATCATTCACTCACTAATTATTATTGAATCCTAATGTTGAAGAACAAGGAAAGTATGGTTCCTGACCTCAAAAAATGTATACACTAGTAAAAAGAAAAGGATAATATTTAGGAAAATAAGAGAGATGATTATATAATTAATTTGTCAGTAGTGTTGATGCCAGGTCTGGGTAGGGTACAGCGCCAAACTTTGTGACTTCTTTGTCTCAACCCTAAAATGAATTTCGGAACAGTTAGCAAAGTTTTAAAACAGAGTTTATTAGTGAGAAGAGGAGGAAAGAGGAAGATTCATGGCAGAAAGACCGACTATGGGCAAGTTTCTCAAAAAAGCAAAACTGAGCTTTTTCTCTCAATCACAAGCTAGATATAGCTGCCTACTTTGTATATTAAGGGTAGAGCACAGGCAATTGCTGCCCTCTGCCTCGAAAGGGAGGAGGAGTAGTCTTACCATTTCTATGGTTTTGATCAGTTTAAGGGGTGGGGTTGAGCTTTTTACCTTCAACCGGGAGCCTGGTTTTAGTGATTTTTAGTGATTATGAGTTTGAAATGTTGGGCTGTCCTATTCTTACATCTAATGGGGTTTTCTTTTTTTTGAGTTGGAGTCTCACTCTGTCGCCCAGACTGGAGTGCAGTGGCCGCTCCCGGCCACCGCAGCCTCGACCTGCTGGGCTCTGGCGATCCTTCTGCCTCAGTCTTCCAAGTAGCTGGAACTACAGGCGTGCGCTACCACGCCCGGCTAATTTTTTGATTTATTGTAGCGATGAGGTCTCGCCAAGTTGCCCAGACGGGTCTCGAACCCGCGGGCTCAGTCAATCCACTCACCTCAGCCTCCCAAAGTGTGGGATTACAGGCTGAGCCACCGAGCCCTGCCCTGATGGGGTTTTCTTTTGATTTGCTGAGGGGGTAGGGTAGGCTGCCAGCTTGGCCTGCAGTAAAATGTACTTTTAAAAAAGTCTGAACGCTTCCTCAAACCTGCTCATGGGAAATATATCTGTCTGTGTTAACTACCCTGTCTCAGTGTGGTCTTGGATTGACCCTTAACAAGGAAGTAGGAATTCAGAAATGAGAGAAGAAAATGAGAGACAGCATGTGCAAAAGTGTGGAA